TCTCCTGCCCGGCCTCGGCCAGCGCCTCCGGTCAGCATCGCGCCGCCGCTTCCAGCAGTCCCCGCGCCTTTTGGGAAGAAGCAAGGGACAGATTGCCCCCATCCCTTTTCTAAACCAGCTTCCAGTTTCAAATACAGTGTGTGTTAAGGAGTGTTACCGCCCAAAACCGGGATGAGTTACTCTTCCCAGCTTTTGGGATCGATGCAAGCCCCACCCGTTTGCACTAGCAGCATTCATAGCAGGGCAATATTTAGTCTTAAAAATCTCCTCTTGAAGATGTGCAAAGGCAGTGGAAATGTGAGCTGTAAATGTTTGAAACAGCAACGGAAAGACTCTTAATCTAGGTATATGTGGTACCTGTAGGTTTGTTTGAACTACTAACAGGTAGTGTGAAAATAATACATGTATATTTGAAAATTCAGAAGTTGATCTGATTTACAACTTGTTTCATTGCAAATTGCTTTTTTTTGGCCAAAATTTACATCTGCAGCGTTGTTTTATTTTGATCCTGTTAGTAGGACCCATTTTACTGTTGTCAGCTTATTTCCAGCCTGGGAAGTACTGCAAATTTCCCATGACCTCATGGCCTAGCCAGCTTTGCTATACCGGAGTCAAGGTGGGAGAAACAGACTAGGAGATCCTGCAGCCCTGCTTCATCGATGAATCTGAGGTTCAGAGTGGACCCCCTTACTTCCTGAACTCCCAGTGACAGCTTAGAGGTGGCTAGTTCAAATCTTTGACTCAGACATAGTCAACAACTCATATCTTAAAGATATCAAAATAATACCTAAAGCACTCAGTGGGAGGGTCTCCCTTTCCCTTATGTGTCTTCTAGGCAGGCTTAATTAGAAATAGACTTTCTTTTGTGTATTTCGTCCATATTGTAAGTAATATAGTGAACCTTGCTATCAGACTTAAAGTTGTGCTTTTACAAATTCATATCAAACCTACTTTCGCTGATGTGTTTGATGGCAATTCTTTGAGCAACCTAAACCACTCATTCACGGCACAGCTCTTTTACAATTCCTCAGATAACCAGAGCAGAGGTAGAAATATCAATATTGAGAATTACATGTCCTTGGTTTTCTCATGTATGTGAAATCAAGTGATAGAGCTCATATGTCATGACTTACCTGCAGCTCCACATCATCTGTATAAATACAACTATTTTTTCAAAAAGAAAGGTTACAGTATTTTTTTAAAGCTATAGGTTGCTGAGTTGTTTGTTTAGTGGGTCAGCTGTGTTGAATACACCTTTGTAATGAGAATAGATGAGGGCAGGATTTCTCCAGCGCTGTGTCAGCCAGTCATATACAAATGCCATTTATAAAAGGATTCAGTGGAACCGCATGATGTGATCCTGAGTACAACCTGGCCTGTTGTACTTACTGAAATGTCATCTATTTCATGATCCTTCCAGATTGGGGAATTGTGCTGATGCCAGGGAGGGGAAAAAGCATTCACAGCAGTATCTGACCTCATAGAGAGTGCATGCCTTGTTGCTAATCTGTACATGCACAGGTGAAAAAACATTGGAAGCTTAGGTTTTACTGCACCTGTACAAATCAATTCAGCAGTACGTGAACCGCTCAAGCTTGCAGGGGAAAAATGAATTTGCCAGACACAGCTACACAGTTCATGCAACTGGCTATGTAAAGGAGCAGGGCAGTCAGCAGAGGATGTCACTGTAACATCACGTTATGAAAGCATCTCCAAGCTGCCCTCAAGGTACAGTGGCTGTAGTATTACTTCTAATTGCTCTACCTTGCCAGACTATGATGGGTGAATAGTGGTCCCTGTATGTTTTCATGCACTGTATAGTTGACCCTCCACTTTGATGTGTTTCTGAACCTGTGATCTTCTCTTCTTTCAGCTTTCTGCATTGCATTGATGATATGCTGTTCTATTCATCAGGAGTGAGTAACATCCCCTTCATAAAGTTTTTATTTGTTTCTACTTTTCTCTGTCTGTGATGTAACTGGTCATTTTTTGAACAGTCCATTTATCTTCCATCTTTTCAACAGAAGCACATATGTTTTAATTTCTAAAAAATATCAAATAGCAAAGATAAATGCAAAATACGCGTAAACAATGGAGAATATTCTGTAAGTCTGTTTGACTTAGATAGTGGTAGTTTCTAGTTTAAAGTTGTTGACCTAAAATTTAGTTCCTGTATGTTTACAAAGAGAGTTGAACACAGGTGATTACAATGAGATGTTTACTGCTGGTTTTGTGAGGCAGGTAGTGGAATATCGTATCTCATTCTGTGATCAGTATTTTGAAAAATAGATTGCTTGGCAACATGCTCAATAGTATAGTGTATCTTGGCAAGGAGAAAAGAATAGAAAAAAGAAAAAAAAGAATAAAAATAAGTAGTCACTGGATAGCGCTACTGAAAATAAAGTTCAAATTTTCACTGTGAAACCAAGTAGTCATTAGAATAAATAGACCATGGAAGTGACAGGTAACCCTTAATGATGTTTGCAAGTTTTGATGGAATGTTTACTCACAAGCTAACTTCTTTGGTTTCCCAAGGTCAGGAAGATATTTGCCTTTAGCTGCTTGTTATGTTCCTAACGGGACGCAGAAAAGACAGACAACATGAATTCAAGGATGTAAAGTTAGTAATTTTTCTTTCTCCGTTGTAAGAAATGTATCTTTTCTCAGAAGGAAATCATCACCTGTCTAGGAAGAAAGTGATTTTGCATAAATCCTTTGTGCCTCAGGTCACTTTCACTTGTGCGCTTCTGCAGGACTCCATATGCAGTTCAATGCAGAGCAGGAGCCTGTCGAAAAGTTTACTTTCCAAGCCGCTACTGAAGATAACCATTTTTCATCCTTGAAAATTTATCTCTTCAGCATTAAACAAGAGATGTGGGCAAAGACGCTTCATTGCTGAATCAGACAAATGCCCATTTTTGCATTCTGCCCCTAAATTTTTTCACTTCATTCATTTTAATTATTCCCAATCTACTCAAACACCTCTATGCTAGAGCAGAAACCTCAAATTTAATGAGGAGTAGCTCTCATGTCTAGAAGTGGTTTACATGTTCTTTATATAGACTAAGATTTTAACATCGAATATGCAGCCAAATCTGTTTACATTAAGTGAACATATCCTGTTTCTACAGTTGAATACAGACTGTGTTATTTGCATTCTTACTAAGCAGCAAAATGTGCTTTATTAAAGACAGGTCTACAAAAGTGAAAACATTTTTTCCTT